ACTCTCTCCAACAGGTCCAGGTCTTTTTTATGTTGGGGACCCCACATCTGAACACAGTACTCCAGGTGGGGTCTCACAAGAGCAGAGTGGAGGGGGAGAATCACCTCCTTTGACCTGCTGCTAATGCTTCTTTTGATGCAACCTAGGATCTGGTTGGCCTTATGGGCTGCAAGCACATACTGTTGGCTCATGCTCAGCTTTTCATTAACCAACACCCTCAAGTCCTTCTCCTCAAGGCTGCACTCAAGCCATTCACTGCCAAGCCTGTATTTGTGCTTGGGATTGCCCAGACCCATGTGCAGGACCTTGCACTTGGCTTTGTTCAACTTCATGAGGTTTGCATTGGTCCACCTCTCAAGCCTGTCAAGGTCCCTCTGGATGGCATCCCCTCCCTCCAGCATGTTTACTGGACCACACAGCTTGGTGTCATTGGCAAACTTGCTGAGGGTGCACTCAATCCCACTGTTCATGTCTCCCACAAAGATGTTTAACAGCACTGGTCCCAGTACTGACCCCTGTGGAACACCACTTGTCACCAGTCTCCACTTGGACATCGAGCCATTGACCACAACTCTTTGAGTGTGGCCGTCTAGTCAATTCCTTATCCAGTGAGTGGTCCTTCCATGAAATCCATGTCTCTCCAACTTAAGAGAGAAGGATGTTGTGTGGGACAGTGTCAAAGGCTTTGCACAAGTCCAGGTAGATGATGTCAGTTGCTCTTCCCTTATCCACCAGCGCTGTGGCCCCGTCTCAGAAGGCCACCAAATTTGTGAGGCATGATTTCCCCTTGGTAAAGCCGAGTTCATTGTCACCAATCACCTCCTTGTTTTCTATGTGCCAGTTTGGAAGCCATGTGCAAGCATAGTTTCCAGGAGGATTTGCTCCATTATCTTGCCAGGCACAGAGGTGAGATTGACTGGCCCCTAGTTTCCTAGGTCTTCCTTATTTCCTTTTTTAAAAATGGGGGTTATGTTTCCCCTTTCCCAGTCTGCGGGAACTTCACCAGAGTGCCACAACTTCTCAAGTATGATGGACAGTGGTTTGGCAACTTCATCTGCCAGTTCCCTCAGGACCCGTGGTTATATCTCATCAGGTCCCATGGACTTGTGTGCCTTCAGGTTCTTCAAATGGTCTCGGACCTGATCTTCTCCTACAGCTGGCAGTTCTTCCTTCTCCCACTCTGTGCCTTTGCATTCTGCAACTTGGGCAGTGTGGCTTGAGCTCTTGCCACTGAAGATCGAGGTAAAGAAGTCATTAAGTACCTCAGTCTTTGTAATATCCTGGGTCACCAGGTCTCCCGCTTCCTTCCGGAGGGGGCCCACATTTTCCCTAGGCCTACTTTTATCAATGACATACCTATAGAAGCTCTTCCTGCTACCCTTAACATCCTTGGCCATATTTAATTCTATTAGGGCTTTAGCTTTCCTAACCTGATCTCTGGCTTCACTGACAGTGTCTCTGTATTGTCCCCAGGCTACCTGTCCTTGCTTCCACCCTTTGTATGCTTCCTTTTTTTGTTTGAGTTTTCTCAGGAGTTCCTTGTTCATCCACACAGGCCTTCTGGGATTTTTGTCTGCCTTCCTCTTTGGAAGGCCTAAGATCACCTAAAAACTTTGGCAATTTTAAGCCATATAGGACCTGCTGAATGTAGCTGTGTAAAGATTAAGAAGTAGGTGTAAAGGTGCATGCCAATACGTGTTACAGGCAACGTGTTTAAGCAGCAAGAGAAAATAATGCACGCTTTGTACAGTCAGAGTAATGCCATCTTGAAAACTGATATATAATTTGGAAATATAGGTAGCAATGAAATATTTTTTACCCTAAGTGCAAAGGATTATAAGTTAATAATGATATTTTAAGAAGTGATGAATTCTATTCTTCATCTAGAGATACAAGATTTATAAATAATGTAGTCATCTTTGTCAATCAAGTGTTTTCATCTGTCTGCTACCTAATGTGTGATGCATACGACAAGGAATGTCATATGTCACATTAAATTTTACTTGCACTATGCTTCCATTAGATTTCTAAACCTTCAAACATTGAATCTGTTTGACAATCACTAGAAAACAATCATTAAAATCAACACCTTTGACATACGTATTTGTAGGATACTTTTATATGTTTTTAAAGTAACAGAATTTTACATTAATGTTTTTCCAAACTGATTTGCACACTTAAACATTTTTGCAATGTAACTTTTTCTGGAAGCTATTATTCTACTACCAGCATTCACAACGGAAAATAATATCAAATTCACAACTGAAAATTTAACATTCTGTGATTATCAACAATAGCCTTCCAGTAAGTAGGCATCTGTAATTTTACACAAGTTTTCACCAACTTTACAGGTTCACAGAAAAGAATCAGATCAACCGGGATTATTTTGTCCAATATTTTTCACTTCTGTTTGCCTCAAAGTACTGTATTTTCATTTTAAAATGCTTTGAATAACTTCTCTCAAGTTTAAGATATCTTATAGAAGAAAAGCTTAAAGGAACAGTGTTATCATATATGCCCAATGGTATACACTACTACTACTGAGATAAACTTGTTCATATTCAGAATTTATTGGGAAACAGATGTTAATCCAGTGTAAGATGGATATAAAAGCAATGGTTTGTCAATTCAGTACTACAGAGATACCTTCAATTTAGGACTTCTCTATATCATAAAACAGAGCAAGCTAGTTTTGTGAAATTTGTCCCTGCATTTCCAAACATTAAGTCAGGAAGGTAAAAACGCA